CATTTCAAAGCAATTCGAAAACCACACATCACGTCCTCCTTAAAAAACATAAAAAATTAAAAACAAAGAGTGATGCAAGAAAGAGCTTCCTCCCTGGATGGTTATAAAATAAAAATAACAAAGAGCTTCCTCTCTGGAGCATGCCTGAATATTTTTGGAGCCCATCAATATACTTTTGAATGCTTTTGCAATCCCCAATGAGAAAGAAGCCTTTCTTCCCCTTCGTCCCATTCTTGGTGATAACTGTGCTCCTTCTTCGCCTTCACTTCCTGGTATTCCCCTTTCAATTATTCTTAATAGCTCTGAATACCTCAGTTGTGCTTCATGGTTCCCACCCTTGTAAGGATCAAGTAAACTCTACCTTGAAATATGATAGAAATCAATACAAGGTTTCAAAAATCTTGCAGCACTTGAAATTCATGGATGATGCAAATTGATAAATCTGGCCAGATGAACAGGGCTGGTACCTGCAAGAGTAACAGGGGAAATTCCCTGTATACCCAAAATATTTATCTGGTATTTTAGGAAGGCGGGATTTCCCAGCAAGATCATAGTTTCTTTGAGTTTGATTTTATCCCATTGTTGGGGCCTGTTATTATTGCTCATAAGTCATATAGTTAATATGTTCAGAATGTCTGCATTGCCTTTTATTGCACACAAGTAGAAAGTGTTGGGATTTGGTCATGATACTTAGCTTGCTAAATAATGAGATCATGTTTATCAAAGGGCTATTATATTTTTGAAGGTTTACTTATCCCACTGGTACATATCTTTTTTTTCCTTATAGGGATCTTGTGTGCTTTTCTATGGCAAATTCCAAAGGGCCATGTACCATGAGAAATATGATGTACAATGGGAAGAGCTCTTTACTGCCACCTAAAAGTCCCTTTCCTAGTATGGCCCCATCATATGCCGATTATGTCCCTAGTTCTGCTTTCAACCAAAAGGGCATTCAGAAACCCAGAGAAGGACACTCACACCATCAGCGTACTTCCTCTGAAAGCTGTATTATAGAGGAGCAACCGTCTTGGTTGGATGATCTTCTTAATGAGCCAGAAACTCCTGTGCGCAGAGGCAGCCATCGACGTTCATCTAGTGACTCCTTTGCATATTTTGATTCTGCTAACGCTGCAAACTTGGATTACACAGTTCAAGTTGATAACAAGTTCAGAAATATGCCTCCTATCCCTTCCTGGGGGTCTCAAGACTTTGATTATTACAAAGATGCTCGACAAGCTGCTTCTTTTGTCGATCAAAACTCCTCAATCCGACGCAAGAATAGGGAAAAGGATGTATCTTCAACTACAGTATCACATCTCCGCAGCCTTTCCTCTCCTGGGGAAGATCTCCGTATTCAGAGGTCTGGATCACCATGCCTCCCACAAGACGGAGACAGGCCTAGATCTGCAGGAAGTGACAAGCAAGATGTAGCAGAGTCTGGCCCTCCTTATCCAAAAGGGTCTGCTGAAAAAAAAGATTCTTCTCAGAGTAAGAGTTCTTCATCAGAAACTGACACAAAACGTGCGAAACAGTAAGTTCAACTCTGCAACCCCTCCATACCACCCACCCTTTTCTTAAAAGAAACTTTGGGAAGGCAGAAGGGGATATGGTTGTTAATTTGATATTTGCTTGACCGCGTAGTTCAAGATAACTGTAATATTTGATCAGAAAATTTTCTTTTTGTGGATAACCGAGATATTCCCGAGAGCTGTGGCGTATGGTTTGAAACTTGGTGGATAATGGGTGTGTGGCACCCTCTACCCTTCTCCACTTAAATACCCAAATTTTGTCCGCGGATGGGTCCCATGATGGCCTTTTTTATTTCATTTATATTCCAAGTCCATCAGTAAATCGTTTACAGTGGGTGCCTGGGTGGGTAAACTGGAGGAGATCCATGTGGTTAGACTAACTGGCCGAGAAGGTTAGCAAGGTTCCTTCTATGGTGAAGTAAGAGATCTTTTACTATAGTGGGTCTTAGCCTTTTATCATCTTAACACGTATCAAGTGGCTTTATCTAAGTTGAAATGGAGCCTTTCTTATTTAGCTGTAAATCTCAGTCAAGATCTAAACTGCCCTTTGTATTAATGTATAAGTATCTCTCGAAATGTCATTTTAGCATTTTATGTGGAAGTCCCCCCCTCCAAATATGAAGTTTATTAACATAAAAGGTGTCATAATATACAGGCAATTTGCTCAGCGGTCACGAGTCAGAAAGCTTCAATATATAGCTGAATTGGAAAGAAATGTACAAGCTTTGCAGGCATGTATCAGTTGAACCTTTGAAATACATACACTGGTACCTGGACATGAAATGGATGTTGCATTTTGGTAACTTGTTAATTTGACTAGTTTTTGTGATTTTAGGCTGAAGGTTCTGAAGTGTCTGCTGAGCTTGAATTCCTTAACCAGCAGAATCTTATCCTCAGCATGGAGAATAAAGCCCTAAAGCAGCGCTTAGAAAATTTAGCTCAGGAACAGCTCATAAAGTATTGTAAGTTTCTTTATCTGTTATACTGAATTATTCTGCTTGTTTCTAGTGCTTGTAGTCGTGGACTATTTTGATAAAGTTGATTATGCAGCAGGTCTTGTGAGTCCAAACCTTACATAGCTAGGAATTAGATTTATCTGAAATAAGGATTATATAATTGATTTTTTCATGGTGAATAAAACAACTGCAAGTGAGTGAGTATTGGTTCAAGTGAGCTGGGAAAGTGGACACGGTTTTCCTGGCACTAAAACAAAAGTTTTTGAGTAATGTTCAATTTGATTAACAAAATAGCGGTCTCTAGGGAAAATGGGGACAATTACTGGTCATCCCAAATACATCAATTCTTGGTAAGAAGATGGAATGATCTTGTTGTAGCCAAGTATTGTGGCCTAGCGGTGAATGAAAACCATGGAAAACCAGGGTGAAAATTCCAGCAGAGACAAAGTGCTAGGTGATTTCTTCAGTACTTAAATTGGTGGGGGGTAGCAAGTACCCGATGAAATAAGGAAGGTGTGCGCGGCAGGTGGCCCAGACACTGCGGCTTTTTAGAAATGAAATGATCTTGCTGATAATTTTAATGTTCTTTGAACCAATAAATATGAGAAAAATTGCCTTATTTTCCAGCTGTTTGGAAAACTAGAATTGTCTTCCCTGTGACCCCGTTCTACTATAATTATTTGAAATGTTTTGTATCACTTCAAAAGGCATAAATGTACTCTTCACTATTAAGGTTGTCTTAGGCTCTTAGCACTGAAATAAAATTGTATTTGTTAGTTTAAATGATGCTGCTTGCTGCGACTTGATCCCTTATGATCTCCTTTTTAAGATGGACAATCTAATACTTGATCCCTTATGATCTCCTTTTTAAGATGGACAATCTAACTAAGGTCAAAGTTTCTTGGGCGGGGGGTGAGTAGTAGTACTCTTTTCCACTGCATCTGGATGACCTTAATGTGAACACGTCCATATTTTCTGCTTCAAGCCTTCAAATTTGCTTACCTTTCAAAATTAACTCAAGGGATGGAAGCTATTCTTATTTACCTCTGGAGCAATGGTAGCATACGTACAGATTAATATGAATGATTGGATGACTTTTGTGGAGCATGATATTGTTGTTTAGCTAATTTTTATCGCATCTCTCTTTTGCACTTTTTTGGTAAAATGGAAAGTTGCTTAGGCAAATAAAGAAAGAGAAACAATGTGATCGAATTTGCAACTACAAAATTGCTAAATAATTGATCTATTTCCCAAGTCCCACTTTCTTTCCTTGATTCAAAGACCTAGAGTAAACTGCCTTAGTTGATTTTAACTATTTTGAACATGGGAACTGTTCTGTTTTGTCGGATAGGTGGTGTTTCGGAGAAGTTGAACGTATATACAGCCAGTAGTTTATTTTCATTTGTTCCATCGAAATCTGCAACTAATAAATTTATATGCAGTGGAACATGAAGTTCTGGAAAGAGAAAGAGGAAGATTACGAGCATTGTATCAGCAACAACATCAACAGCCACAGCCACAGCCACAGCAACAGAAGCCATCTTACAGCCATCGTCGCAGCACTAGTAGGGATCTCGATCAACAATTTGCAAACCTCACTCTGAAACAAAAAGAGGCTGAGCGTGATGCTGTTTCAGGACAACTCCACATTTGACCGTAACTGTAGAAATGCCTTTAATCATGTCTTACTGACTGTCCCTCAGTTGACTTTGCCATGGAGTGACAAAAGTTCACGATTTCCATTGTGCGATATCAAGAAGAGGTCTTGCTTCCCATGTGCTCACCTCCAACGGGTTTGTTCTCCTTCTGTCTAAATTGATTCTAGTTCTTGTTACAACATGTGTCTTTTACATCAAGATTTGTTAAGCTTTTATGTGCACCTGGTGGTCAATGCTAAAGAAAAGCATTTGTCGCAGTTGACTCACCTGAGGTGGTTAAATCCAGCATGATATCTCATGTCTTTCTATGTTCGGAATGATTAAATTCATCAGTTTCCCTTTTGTAACATTTTCCAGCTTCTGATTTCCCTCTAATTTCATCTTCATGAACCATGTAATGTAAGCATTGATGGAGGATCTCATTTCTGCTTATTCATTGTTTCTTCTTGTGCAATAAAAACATTCTTGTTAATTTTTAACTTTCTATTTCAGCCAAATGTGGATACGAAGTTAGGCCTAGCAAACCCTAACCCTACCCTACCTAATATCTGACATTAATTTTTCATGTAAGTATTGCATTTTAATTAAAATCATATGGGTTTTCCATTCTACTAGAGGGATTAATCCACCATTCAATTCAATACATACATAAGAATAAAAGGGTAAAATATGGGTTGTATTCATATTGGACCAACTGCTCATAAAACAAGAACTACAAAGGAAAAAAGGATATGCTGATCAAAGACAAATCTTTCAACTGCTGTAAATCCTCGAACAAACAAGAAAAAAAAAACACAATCTCAATCTGTGAAACATTCAGAAAATACATCCGAAAAGAAAAAACCCATACAAATAAATCACTCAATTCTCTTTCTTTTCCCCTTATCAGCAATAGCAACCTTCTTGTTCTCCAAGAAACGAATTCTCCTGTTGACAGCAACAAGCTTTGATTCAACTAGCGTCAGGAGATCTTTCTCTCCTTGTTCTTCTTCTGGTTCTGGAATTGGTGTTGATGATTCCTTGTGCTTCTTTTCGGGTTTCAAATTTTGAGAGTAGAGATCAAGAACTTCCTTACAGGCATCCAAATTGTCAGGCCAAGTTTGCAGTTGCTAGGACCAGTAATAATAGTACAAACCTTGATATCGCAGAGAGTTGCAAGCTCCATTGACTTCCTCTTTATGCATTCTTTCCTCACTTGATAAGACTTGGGATTGTGTGTTTTCTTATTGCTTTGATCTTCTTTTGCCTTCTTGCTTTGATCTTCGTCTGCCATAGCTTGATTGATGTAGAGTCCTGAGAAGAATGAGTACATATATATAGATGTTTTGGGGGAAATTATAATTAGTATTCCTAATTTGAATAGGAAAGAGAATCGAATGCTCTTGGGAGGTTTGGTCAAAAATTTGCTAAAAGTTTTGGTATGTAAGTGTCCAGATTGGGAAAGAAATATAATATAGAAAAATAGAGTAATTGTAACTTCCCAAGTTTACTGACAGCTAGGGTAGATCGTCTACGTCACGCTTAGTGGGATGCGTTCTTTTTTTGGAACATGCCAAGATAAAACCATCCAAATACAACTTAATAAATCGGGTTTATTTGGAATATGGTATACAACTTTATTAAGTAAAATATTAAATGAGAGTCCTTTTAGATTTGGTAAGACAATCTTGTGAAAATATTAGTGGTCTTTTTGTTTGACTAGGTACAGATTTACTTTCTCATATTTTCTCGCACATTCCTTTTGTATATAAAGTAAAGAGAAGTTGATTTGGTTAAAGTTTGATGATTAATCAAATTATTGAAAAAATAAATGAGAAAAAAATATATTCAGTCAATTCATTCTGTTTGATTTTTCCTAATTTGTATTAGGAATAGAATTAAATTCTCTTAGGAGGTCGGTGAAAAATTTGCAAAAGTTTTAGTATGCGAATCGGAAAAGAAATACTCCATATATTGCAACTTACCAAATGGTTAGGTCGTCTGTGTTCTTTTCTCTAAACCATGGAATGCTTTTATGCTTCTTTTTTTTATTGACCCGATTAATTAAGTAGTAAGTTAATTTGGGGTATGAAAAACAACTCTATTAAGTAAAATATTGAAAAAGAGTCCTTTTTGGATATGGTAAGACAACTTGTGAAAATAGCGGTCTTTTTCTCTGATTAGGTATGTATTTACTTTCCTATATTTTCTCACATATTTCTCTGGTATATAAAGTAAACAGAAGTTGATTAGGTTAAAATTTGATGATTAATCAAATTATTTGAAAAAATAGATGAGAAAACAATTTTGAGTTAATCAATGAATTTTCTTTAAGTCACCACATTAGAACTAATGAATTGTGACAGGTAAGTCATGACATAATCGTATCACTTCATATTATATTCAGCGTACTTATTTTGTTTGATTGTTCACAAATCACGTCATATTATTTTTAAAGCTACAAGGAAAAACAAAGAATTCAATTCATCACAAATTAATCAGAATAATTTCATGCTATATACAACCTAGTTATTACTCACAAATCATTCCAGACCTTCAATAATCTTTCAACCCCAACCATGGCCACCCAAAATTGGAGATCCTCAATATGTTGTTTTCCAAAATTTTCTTTTGAAGTACAACATATAATCGTATCATACTTACATCTATGCTTGTGAGAGACTATCACTGTATAAATTAAGATTAATTACTGATAACACTTACTTAAAATATTGTTAATATCAAACAAAAGGAGAAAACAATGATGGTAGGTATTGAAGGAGCCAAAAATTGACTAATATTTGGAAGCATTGGATATTTATCAGGTGAAGGCAAAACACACTCATAACCATTGAATGAAATCTTTCTTGGAAACATCCATCCTTCATTAAATGTGAAAATCCCTGCATCTTTATGCAGTAACAACTCACTTTGCACAACCCCACTCCTTCCTGCTTGTAGCAACATGTCATTGTAATACTTAATCCCATAAAACATCCCAGTGTCGTCTGCACGAAAAAAGAATCGATTCATATAGCCGAACCCAGCTGAGTTTGTGTTTAGGCATCTATAGTATGAAAGGAATGCATTGGTATAACTTACTTATATCACCATACTGATCAAGGGGCATGTAGTCGAAGCTGAAAACCTGTGTTATACTTCTCAAATTCGGGTGCAGGACCACCAAGTTCCACTGGCTGTAGTTTCTAACTAGGTTTAAGTTTCTAATAGTCATCTTCACCCTCCAATATTCTCTATAACTCTGCTTTACATGCCAATGCACCTGAATTGGGCACATGTGGCGTGTACACTCTAGTATTGGCGTTGGTGGTTCGTTATGGCCTAGTTGTAAAACTGGTGGCACCTCACCACGCCTGTAGTTCCACACACAAGAAGAAAAGACATGTTTGATTAACAAGATATAACAATTTTGTTGAATATGACTTGTTACTCAGACAAATGTTTTGGTGGAAACTAGAATCAGAGGCGGAGTCAGTATTTCAACCTTATGAGTTCTGGATTCTAGGAAACAGCCTTGAGTGCTAACATATTATACACTACCTCCGATCTGCCTGGATTTAGTATAGCATCTAAAGAAGATATGAACCTCTTGACTAAATAATGTACGAACATTGAGGTTAAAGAGTAAGATATTTACTTCATACATTGAGCTGCACTGCGCTGTCCCTGACAACCACAACTGCATACGGAGCAGGGCACAATTGTTTCGCTGTAGAAAGCAGACAAGGAAACACAACATGCTGGAGAAGATGATGCTCTAAACTGGGAGTAAGAACAAATGACGTCCCACGTAGCTGCAACCATTACAAACAGATTTAGATTTAAATTGAAAGTTACAGTATGTTAAGGGAAGAATGATCATCCTTCCTATATAGGATGAGTAGGAGTTAGTTTACTTACCAACTGCTTGAGTCTGTCTCCGTCCTTGATCCTCATGGAACTTGGTTGGAGGGATTTTAATGGCAACACCACACGTATATCCAGGAATCCCAAGTGTGAAGTTTTCAGGCATACGAGGCTCGGATCCATCATTTAATGCACTTCCAATGCTCATCTCAAAAGAAGACACATATTTTTCAGGGTCCTGAGTCAAGGATGTCAGCACTCCTCCCTTGCAGCAATTTGTGACCTGCTTATTATACGGAGCTCCAGGAAGGAGATCAAGAATCACAGGCTCTTTCAGACAACAATGTGGCGGGGTGTCTCCTTTGATTGCAGAACAATCACCTTGTTCTGTTGTTTCAGCACCCCACATTTGCCATATTACTTCCTTACCATGCCAATCCCAGCTTAACTTCCAACCAGGTTGCTCTACGTGACGGAAAAGTTGATAGTTGAAGATTGAAACTCTAATCTGAGATAGACAGAGAGAACGTTAGCTAATTCATCTCTACTTCCTCGAATGAGATATGATACATAAAAATAACTAACATAATTTTCTTATAACAAAGATTCAGGTCCATGAACCACAACATTTTAGGAGAGTCCGAACAACATATAGCCTGTGGAAATCACCATATGAAGGGCTTTCTTTGGATTGAATTACTTCTCCTAATTCACTACATACTTTTACTATATCATTTTTACCAAACAAGAACTTATAAAAAAACATCAAACTAACAGCTAATAACTAACTATTTTTTCATCTCAGTTATTTTTAAAATTCATTTATCTTACAATCCCTCGTTCATCAGCAAAAAAAAAAAAAATTAAAAAAATTAGAAAGTGGATCTGCCCAAAATCACACAAACACCACCATTACTATTATAACTCAACAACTATAATAACAGTAAAAAATTAAATGATAACAATCAGAAATCATGAAAAAAAAAAATACAGTTGTTTATCACAATGTCATTTTTCAGCTAAGGTTCGAAACTCGGTGGATAATGGCCCAGGCCCGGCCCTCTACCACATCACAAACAACACTTAACCTAATATAATGAACAATTCATAGGACTGAGAAGTCGTCTTATCATGCTACTGACTTTGAACCGGATTGCTAACCTTATGAGTATCTTTTATTAATTTTCTGTTATACTATTGTGTGTATTTTAATTGTAACGAAAAAAAACTTACTTGGTGATTAACCTCAGTGCTTGTAGTCACATCCCATCTGATAGTGATATTACCCATTGGGTCCATTGGATCATAGCCATCTGCATCATAACTAAAATTAATCATCACAAAATCTCAAACACAAACAAAATTACATAAGAAAAAAAAAAACAGAAAAATACTCACAAACAACTGGATAAATAAGAAATATGAGGTCTAACACTAAGATTAGACCAAAATTACCCATTGATCTTTGATTATTTTTTGAATAAATAAGTAAATTAATTCAGTGGTGATTCATACATTCATAAAACTCAAGATTTTGTTAGAATTGTGAAAATGAAGAAGAAAAAAGAAAGAGGAAGATAATACACTGGATTTAGTAATAAATAAAATGAGAATGAATTTAAGGAGATCGTTTTTATTTGTTCAAAAAATAATTAAGACTATATGACTTAGTACTAAGAATGCGTATCCATAGGGTGACGTTTGAATGTAATGTTACGAATTAATCTCTAATTGTACAAAATATGTTACTGCTAATAATGCTTTCCATTTTTGTGACATTTATCATATTCATACTATGTGACAAATGATAATTGGTTTAACGAGATGAATGATAATAGTACATGGATTGTTACGTGAGAATCATATATTTATAGATTCATAATTTAAGAACTTTTTCGTATTTGCGTGGGGAATACAATGAGATTTAAACTCTTTATATCAGGGTGAAGATGTGGACAACTCTCCAACTAAGCTACGTACACCTCACATATCTTTTAAACTATTTAAGTAATGTTATCTCCAAATATTCCAGTCTGTAACAAAGCAAACTTTCCAGAATAATCCATTTTATATCATAATCAAATTAAAGCTCATGTAGCTATTTTCGTACTTCATTTCTTCAAAAGGGAGTATATGCAAAATCAAACTACAAACTTACAGGATGCGTATATATTTATTTAGGGACAATAGCAGTTTGGTTCCGTATTGATAAATTTTAATTTTGATCCTTGTGAAATCTAAAAAAAATACATCTAATCATCAATTAACTGAAATTTTTGTGTGTCAGACTTGAACTCTTCTTTGAACTATATTACCGGGAGTAAAAACACAAGTTTAACAAAACACATGAATAACTAAGTGATAAAATGCTTAAAAATTATGTTAAATTTGTAAAAATTCACGAGCAAAGGGATCAAATATGCACATATCAATTAATTGGAGTTAAATATGCTAAATCATATCACAAGGACTAAAATAAAAATTTAGCAATAACTGAAGGACCAAAAATCCTACTTACCCATTTTTTGCACTTAGCTGGAATATGAAAGATGAAATGCGTCAAGACAAAAAAATGAAGTTTTGATTTTAGCACTGAATCAGACAATAATGTTAACAACCATGACTAGTAGAATAAGTAACTTAATGAAACACAAAAATCCATATTCATCCAAATACAAAATGACTTCAGCAAAACATAGTCCCTTCTGCCTAATAATTAGAAGTATACATCAGAAATATTCAGTTATCTCCTAGTAGTGGAACGGAATGGATACATTTCTCTTTGTATTGTCCAACACAAATCATTTTTCCGTCGACTTCGGGAGGAGTTACAGACGCTTAGGAATATCTGTGTTTTTTGAAACTGACTCCATCGAAGGACTCCCATTTTTTATGATCGAGAACGCTCAAGTCATCAAGATCTGAAATGGCAAACAAATATTGAGTGAGCTTCATGAGCTCGTCATCACTGCTCCGATTAGCGTGTGCCTTTCTGAATGGCTTTATAGGCAACCCATTTTGAGGGTTCATCACGAAGTTCCTTCGCAGGTCATCAAACATTATAGTATTTTTGGGACTGTAAAACTGCACAATAATCAAGATTGCATGTTAGTGTGCCAAATTACCATCTTTCAGACACTTATTCAGAATATCGAACTTTAGATAGTGATGCCAACATAATGTTTAATGCCATAAATTCATTGAAGAAGAAGCAACTAAATAAAGAAAAAAGCCAACCTCTGGAAAATGAGCCCAAATTAGGCCTAACGGTTTGCAATCGAAAACTCCATAATGATCCGATTGTACTGTTATCATGGCCATATGGTCCAGCATAGCTGTAATTTTGTAGTTTGGATTATCGAGTACACCAAGTTGTTTCATTTTCACCTCAACCCACTTCATGCTGCAAAAAGAAATGAGTAAGGCAATGCATATAGATCACAAACCTCTTCCCCAAAAAATACTATGATTTTCAAAAACATCAGAGTTATCATTTATCAATGGACCTAAAAGCAAATACTCACCTGGTTGCCGACCATATCATGATGTCATATGCTGCATAAGCAGCCGAGAGAAACTCATGAAGATCTGCATGCAGTAATTGACAAAATTAAACACCAAACAAGCTAAGGATAACTGGAAAATATTGGCAAATAAGACACTTACATGGCCTCATTAGTTCGAGTGGGTTCTCTGCAGTTGACCGGTGATCAAACAAAGTATAATCAATATCCAGAACAAGCAGCTTTTTACCTTCACGGCAAGGATTACGGAGCACAATCTGAATAATCACCAATATGATCATCATAAAAAGGCAAGTCACACATCATGTGTTTTTAAGCCACACATATCAGCTGTTTATTATTGAGAAAATATACTGGATGTAATTTTAAATAACTATAACTAGTTATAGTTGAATGCACCAATAGCCACATCTTACCAAAAAAGCAACTTGGCTATTTTTAGAAAAATAGTTAAGAATCTGTGCACTGATAATGAATAGTCAAAATACTTTCTGGTGTTATTTTGTTTTGGTTCTTTTCTCTTTTTTTCCGGGTGAAGGAGGGCTTGGTAGTAAAAATTTAAGTAACCCAATAACAAATTAAAGCAATATCCCCATCTAATCAGAAAGAATAGCCACAGCCAGGTCCTCTAATTCTTTTACAAGTCATTTTGTATGTTGATAAAGTCCGTCTCTCTAACTCCTTCCATCATCTTCCCTACACCCACTCCACCCAAAACCTCCCAGCAACCAAATATGAAATCCCTCCCATTTCAATTCCCACACCCCATCATGTGGATTTATTTACACTTCTTCTCTACTTCCATGGATCACCCCATTAATGTACTTTCTCTCTGCTCCTTCCAACTCCCACCAGCCCCTCACCCGAGGAAAAAAAAAAAAGAACCAAAACAAAATAACATCAGAAAGTATTTTGAAATATGAAACTGATAATAATAAATTAGTCTAGCTATGTTACAACTCAAAACATTATATTGTTGAGAAGCAGAAGTTCCCATCATTTAAATATACCAAATAGAGGCAAATGAAGCAAGCCACACAATATCCTCATTATTTTCAGTCCAAAGAGAGAAATTTGAAGAATATCTGATGATCACTTAATTTTTTGATCAAGTAAAAGGTTTCATTGATAATGTCAAGGTAACTTGGCCATTTACAAGTGGAATACCAACAAGAGGAGAAACCTACAAAAAATGGTTCTCTCCAAAAGACACCCAATCCTCTATACACACTGGAATTACATGGGTGTACCAAAGGAAAATAAAGAATCGGAGACTACTCCTTAAATGAGCAAACCTCATCTCCACCCCTTCAAAAGCTCTCCTATTTCTCTCTTTTCAAATGACCCACATTAAAGCAAGAGTAGTAAAATTCCAAGCCTTGTGCCTTCTTCTCCTAGCTCCACTCTTCCACGTGAACATCAATTCATTCACGGATCTTGGCATTACCCAAGAAACACCGAACCATCTAAAAGTATTCTCCCATCACCCCATGGCTAATTCGCAATGTAACAAAATATGCTCCACGTCCTCACCCGTATCCTTAGAAAGGAAACACCCTTACAAAGGAAACACCAGCTCAAGCAAGGAACCTTTTGTTCCTAAGATTCTCCACCATCAAAATCACCCTTCTAGTAACTAGCCACGTGAAAAAGCATACCATCCTCGGCGCCTTAGGTATCCAAACTGATGCATATGGAAAGTTATCATCTATCCTAACCAAAAAGCTTCTACGCATAGAAGGACTTAACCGAAAACATATTGTTATTCCCCAACTCCCAACTCAAAGCATTGGATCTGTCGACTGGCTCGCATTGCTTTTGAAGTAACTCTAGCAATCTCTGGAGCTCGCTCACCGCCCAATCCTGAAAATTCCTCCTAAACCTCAAGTCCCAAACAGTTCCCTCACTACTAAGTATAAATATTTCCTGAATCATTTCTGAACTATTAGATATACATGGTAGGTGTGCATCTGAGTTTGAATCATTCGATGAACTGAGTCTGTTGTTAAGGTGGTGTTACGTTATACACGGACTTTAAAATTTGAAAACAATGGATTTCTTGGTTTACAAAACAAAAGGCAAAAGAATCTAAACTTGATCAAAATTCTAAATCACTCCAGACCCAATATTTTTCATTTTCTGTGAATAAAACAATTTTCCTTCACATCAGCATCCAAGATGGTGTCCTCCTCAAAAAAAAAATCCCAGATGGTAATATAAAAAGATCCTGAATTATAATGGAATATAATTCCGTATTATATACTTTTGTTAATGTTATTCTTCTTTCATAATTGTAGAAAGAATTCCTCTATTTCCAAATCCAACCATCATTCTCTCCGCGCATAGGAAAGAATGATTGTCTCCATAAATGTGTTCAATTAGTTTTCCCAATGATGCATACAAGTAAAAACAAATATAGTATGAAGGATATCAGCGTAAAAGGTCCACAAGTTTCATGTACATCCAATTTTCATTATAAGAATAGGGAAGTGTTAAGGGAACAACCTTGTGCTGTGCAATGCGCCTTTTCAACTTCTCTTTGTTGATTTCTTTATCCTTTATATCTACAGCTTCGTCTTGCTCAATCTCAAAATCATCAATGATATCTGGAGATTCCACTTGATCCACAATTATATCATCTTCAACTGTCCTGCAAATCAAAATAATACTCATTACCCCTAAGAAAATTGAACAGTTACTCATTTCTATACTGGGTATGTTGTTGTTGTACTCATTACCCTTAATTAAAGTCTGATAGTTAGCAGTTTTTTCCTCAATAAGCTTAGTTGCACTATATCGTAGCAACAAGAACTTAAACAAGAGTTCATGGAAGACTTGTGGATACAGTAACAAAAATCTATTACTTTATCATAATTGAACTCTTCTTCTCATAATTCAAATTTTATAAACTCAAGCAACAATGCACATACGACACACATAATAACTTATCCCTAAAGATGAAGGGAAGAAGAGAGAAAGAGAGAAGAAAAATAAATAGAATTATAAATTGAAGAAAAATAAGAATGTAGTTTTCATATTTCAAGCATCACCAAGAACATTATATCAAACAAATTATCTAGAAAATATCAAAAAAAAAAAAAAAAACTGAGTGGACAATTATATTGCTAGCCAACATTTGGTATGTCAACTAAACCCCGCATTAGATGCCATATTTCAAATTGGCCATTTGGTTGCATTATCCAATATCATCTGGAGGTGATTTTTGACAATAAATGGATTAGAAAATCCAACCATATTACGACATTAATGACAAAAGTTATCTCTTGGTACATCGCAAAAGATAATAATCTAGGCAGATGTAGGAAGGTAATTTAACCCACTTTTAGACCACATGCAAATTAAATGTTTTTTCCTTAAAGTTTCTTTTATTGATACTTCTAATTGAAATACAGAATTTTGAGCTTATTTTACATATTATAATATAACGAATCATATTTAAGAATGATTTTACCATTTTTGTTGTAGTAACTTTTGTAACAGATGAGTAGTTATTTGATATATTAGGACCTAGGGCATTATTGCCCAGACGTTTAAGTTTGTTCCAATCCATGCAAATAGCCTGGACATCAAGCACAATATGAATTGTCTCATATTGTGAATCTTTGCTACTTTATAATTTCATGTTGTGATTCTTTTCTTGTTTTTTTGAACATTTCATATTGTGATTCTTTACAACTACAATCTCCATATTATTATTCTCTCCATCTAACAATCCATGTATTACTTAACTGTTCTACCAAACCTTATGGTGAAAAGAAAAGGTTAGACTTGGTGCTACCAGATCTTACCTCAAATGATCAGCAATTTGATCTATCTTATATAGCACCCATGATTCTACTTAGCATAAATTGACCAGAAAAAAGTTAAGAGGGAACTTCCTTCAGAATAAGATGCAAAAGCACTCTCTCATACCAAACCACATAATAAAGATGGCTTTCATTGCACATAATCTTTTGTAACAAGATAAGCATATTAAATAAGGCTTGAAAAAAAAGCCTGTCATCTCAACCTTCCTCTTAAATATCCTGCATCGAAAAAGGTATTCCTTTATGGAGAGACTTCCCCTCTCTAATTGCCTAAAGAGAGTTGCATCTAAAGAGTCTAAAGTGATATTCTTCTCATCCAACTAAAAGAAATCAGATGGGACAACAACAGAAAAATGTTCTCATTCCCTATAGCCGAACACCTTACATCAAACATGCACAAGATTAATAATTCACCTTCCATATTAAGAATATCAACAACTTATCATAAGCAATCAAACATGGTATGAGGCCGGAAAATTAACCTGTGAATATAACATTTATGGAACACTTACACCAAAGGAACACTAACAGAAGAAAATAACAGTCTATTTTGGTGTCCTGTGAAATATGCAATTGTACAGCTTCGCCGAAGGGTTTTCTTGAGTCTAGCCGAAAATTGTTCAAATTGGTTTGTGGATCATTAACGTGAATGTTTTCTTTTGGTTTTATCTTTTCTTTTTTTAAACAGGTCTCATAAGACTCTTAGCTTGGCTGTTGTGATAAGCATAACTGTCAATATCCTTTTGAGCATTCGACTATTGCTAAATATATGGGACACCTACTTGGCCATTCAGTACTCGCCAATAACTGCCAAAGATTTATCTTTTTCTAATGTTAAATGCATTAATGCATGCAGCATCGACTTAAAAATAATGGTACGTCATGGTGTCACATGTTCATCTGCTGTAGTGATTCATTTAGATGCAAAATGCTAGGTACCATCTGGTTTTAGCAGAAAAAAGTTACATTTATATCATACACAACTGATACCTATCATGCAATTTGATCGGTACGGAAAATAACAAGAAAAAGGAGATCTTTCTCTCTACTTGATCCATCCTCTACCCAAAATGTATAAGTAGTTAAGAATTATTTTGATTGATGAGATCTTATTTTATTTCATTTTTCATATCCAGACTTGTTTTACATTTACTAATTGGTTAATTCAAACTACCTTATTATCTTAGCTACAAATTTAACGACAAAAGAAACCTTTCACCAATACAGGTTGTTGGTAAGAACAATTAAAATGAGGACATGCTTATAAGTTATCAACTCATACTTCAAATTATACAATTTGACAATCAGCATATATGTCTCTGTATACTTTTCTGTTCAAAATGAGATTAAAAACTCAGTTCAAATCCCAGCAAAGGCAAAAAAAAGATGAGATTCTCTAATCTGCCTAAGCATACCCAAAACATTCATCAGTCATAAAATAGTATATACTAAAAAAAATATATTAAAAAATCAACATATAGAGATTGTAATTAATCATACAACTAAATCTCAATCCCAAATTAATCAGCATCGTCCGTCTATACGAAAACTCTACATCAAATTCAGTACATTCGGACCCGACTTTGGGGATAAAAAAAAAGGAGGGAAAAGCTCACCCGATCATAGTCATCTTGAAGGAGGATTTGAGAGGAATTTGAGATAGAAGAAGAGAATCATCAGCGAGTTTTGCACCAACTTTTGGGTATAGAAGCTTCTGGCGTTTAGGCAAAACATTTGTGACTTCACATATCCGTCGTTTCAACTCGCCGACGGTGTCATCGCCGCAAACTCTGACGGTGTGCTCTTTACCGCTCCATTTCACCGCCAGCGTCAACTCTTCCACCGTCATCGGAGACACCGCCGACGATGATTCCGAAGCCATTTTTTTTTTCGTTACTTCTCAAATGCACTAGGTACACTTCGTAAGTGCAATGTTTACGCCTCTTTACTTTTTAATTTAAAGTTTTAAAAAATATATATTTATGCCTCTTTTACTTTTAATTTTAAGTTTTAAAAAAAAAAAAAAATTGAGGGTGGGATTACAATCTGGGAATTATACCTTCACCAATAAGGCGTGTGTTCAGCTAAACAATTAACTAAGTTATTAAGATTTTTCAATGTAATTGATTGGGAAAAAAATATTTTCTAAAATTTTTCGATAAGTCAAATTATTTTTAAAATATTTATTTATTAAATAAGCTTCTTAAATTCAATGATACTTAGATGAAAGTAAAAAAATAATAATTATAATGGTATCTCACACTAACTATCTCCTTTCTACTCACAATTCACAAACGTTAATAACAACTAAATTAAGTTGATAACCTAAAATCAAATTTTAATGAGAGTCTTTAATTATTATTTTTTTAAAAAGGAAAATTTTGTTTTAAATCTATATTTCTTGAGACATTGTTGATGTAAGTTAAGATTTTATCAATTTTAAATTTAGAAATATATTTCAACATCTTTAAATTGATATAACTATTGCAAAGACTTATTAACATTATTCCAGAAATATAAAGATACTTGAAGAAAGAAAATCTTTTTATTTGATTGGGTATATATTAACTATAGTATTATTTTCTTAAGATATTTAATTTGAAAAATAAGTTTAAAATATCAAACATTGTTTATTATTATGTTTCAAGAACTTTCTGAGGTTAAAATTGTATGGTTTCGACTCCTCTCTATTTTCTTTTTTTCTTTTTTTTAATCCTATTTAAATTGAAGACACATGACATATAAAAAAATCAATGACTAAATTTAATTGATTAGCAAATTTTAATTATGATTTGGATAATTTATACTTCATGAAAAATATAATTGAGTGGAAAGGAATAAAATTTGTTTTGACTAAAAATATAGTAGAAACATATCATTTGTGTATGATAACAAAACAAGATACATCATATGATTATTTTGAAAATTATATCTTTGCAATTTTGTATCTTTATACGATATTTGCTTTATGAAAGTAGTTTCATCAACCTAGCATTTTTCATTTTTTAATAAAAAGGCACGTATGTAAATATTTATTTTACTTTTTAAAAAAGTCTTTTCATTCTCTTTTATCTTTTACTTAAAGTAAGTTAACAACGTAATTTTTAATTAAAAAAATTATCTTGCATTTATAATTTAAAACCTTTTTTCCACTTTTTTACTTTCATTCATTATTTTCTCTCTTTTTTTTTGTTAATTTTTTATTGTTTTTGTCTTTCTTTTGATTTGATTTCAAATGTTTTGTATTTAAAATAAATTAATTTCAGATGAATATTAAAAAAAAGGTGAAAAAGTCAAATAAAATATTAACGAACATTAAAATTAAAGGACACTTTTTTTAAAAATACAAATTATTTGTTAAAAAATACACATAATTTTTTTTTAAAAAAAAATTAAAGGTGAAAAGATAAAAATTTAATAAAAGCTAAAAAAAATAAAAGTGAGGAAGGAAATAAATATTTTACAAAGAAAGAAATGAAAATGATTAAATATATACAAGTTTCAATGTCAATAATTATGTAAAATAATTAATTGTCAAATCAATTAAAAAATGGCATGTGCCCACCAATTTACATATTAGTTGTCTTGAGAATTTTAATGACACGTGTCCAATTTCTATTGGTCAATACCGCTTCAAAAAAGTTTTCATGTGTGCAGTCACGCTAGGTGCACATCAGCACAAAAGGTGCACAAAGTGCATAAAATAAGTTTAATAATAATGGAACCTCAGTTAAATTAAGATGTGTCACTAAAAATTCTATCATAATTTAAAGAATTATTATGCCTTAACCCTTTTAGATTTCATTGATCACATATTTCATATTTAACTTTAATAAAGTCCAGAGATATTTAAAATTCAAGTTAAGTTGACCAATAAATATTTATTAATTAAAGTCCAAGCATATATAAAATTCAAGTTATTTTGGTCAATAAAAATTTATTAGTAATTATTTTCAAATGGCATTTGATTCATGTAATGCAGTCACAGAAAGGAGACACCTCAACCTTTCTCCCATCTATATTATTTACTCACTCTTTTGCCTTTTCCACCGCTAGAAGCCTAGACTTGTTTCCTAGCTAACTCTCCTTTGATTAATTTCTTTCTTTCCCATGGCTTCCAACCACAAGCATTTTGTTGTGAAGTACTCTTTTAATTCGTAATTATTTATCTACTTTTGAATTGACACAATTATTGATACAGTGAATTTATCATTTTATCTCTATTAATTACAAAGTTGATGAATTAAAAATTGAGATAAGTGTAAAAAATAAACCTAAATTATTCTTTTTTTTAGTTTCATACCTAAACTATTGAGAGTATGAATTTCATACCTAAATTATCATTTATTAGTTTGAGAAACACACCTCACTGGGGTGTATAATACACTCTCTCTTTTATTTGAAAAAATCTTGACACATGGCATTCCATGTAGATAAAATATTCAACTTTGACAAAAATTAAATAATAAACTATTAATATTAACTAAATATTAAAGTTTAAAGTTACTACCGCCCCCCCCCCCCCCCCCCCCCCCACAAAGGATTTTTTTTATAAAAAAAATCAATTATTTTTCTTATCCCACTCCACCACCATCCCCCTCCTTTTTTTTAATTTCTTTTATGAAATATTTTTAAAAAAAATCATACTTCCCCTCCCCCCCCCCCCCCCACCCCAAAAAAAAAACTACCCATTCAATCCCTAAAAAAATTGATATTATTTTATTTAAAAAAAATAAAATTCTACCCCATCCTATTTAAACCTCCACTCCTAATTTTTATTTTTTTTACATTTTTCTCGTTTTATGTTAGATATGTACATATATTTTCAGGAATTTTTTTCTACTTGTGTACCGAATATAACATAAATTAAAAAATTATTTTAAAAATAGTCTTGCGGCGGCAAGTAAAAAATATTTTTGATATATATATATATTTAACACAAAACGAGAAAAAAATTTGAAAGTGGAGGGTTAGGTGGAGCGGGTAGAATTAGTTTTTTAAAAAAATAATAAAAAATCTCTAAATTAATATTTGAAAGAGGTGGGGGGAGATGATGTGGCATTTTCTAAAAAATAAAAGGGAGAGTATATTACACACATCATGATGAGAGTGTTATAAAATAGAGAGGTGTGCTTCTCAAACTATTAGGTGATAGTTTAGGTATGAAACTCACACTCTCAACAGTTTAGGTATGAAACTAAAAAAAAAAGGATAGTTTAAGTGTGTTTTTGACATTTATCTCTTAAAAATTTAAGATTTTCAAGAAGTTCTATTCTTTTTTAAAGTAATTAATTGAGGGTATAATAGGTAAAAACAAATGTCCTTTCTCGATTTGTTAAAATGGACAAGTAAAAAAAAAAATTGGATAACTAATTAGAGACAAAGGGAATATTTTGAGTGTATGCATAATTATGTTGCTAGATAATGGCAATATACTTGATGGTTGTGGTGAATTCGGATCAATTGGTGCTCCTTGAATTCTTCATCTATGTTGCTTGCATTGTTGTTGAAATTGTGATAGAATTTTTTTTGTGTGACATTACATAATTAAAATCATAAAATTGAAAAGCATATTGACATTATACATATCTGTAATTTATTGCAAGTCAAAAATATTTTTTATTTTCTTGAATTTCATGTCAAACTAAAAACAGAACAAATTAAAAAGGAGAAAGTGATTAGTTTACTTGTCCATATATATTAGTACTTTTTGTTGCTCCGTTCCTTAAAACTCTATATATAATTATTTATGCAAATTTAATATTTGAATTTTCAGATTTTGAGATGTCAATAAATCAATTGACCATTCGAATTATTGGGCTTTGAAATTTATTATTTATAAAATTTAAGTCAAAATTATTCAACTGAACTCATCCGTACATAGTTATATTTGTACATACATAATTATATAATTGACATAGGTAAATAACATTTAATGACAGAATGTGGAAGTCCTTGTGATTGTCGTAGTGATCATACATGATTATGTATAGAAATGACCAAATCAGTCTCATAAATCATGACTTGCCTAACCCATTTAGATTTGGACGAATTAATGATTTACTTATTTTATTAGATCAAATCGTTTTGACTGATACACAACTCAAATTGGTTCATGTAAAACTTTATCTAAATACTTTTAAAAAGATTTTTTAAAATTTCATGACAAGTTATTTATAGATATAATATAAGGAAAAAGAAATTATTAGTTGCTTAGAGAGATTATAAGAAAACAAACAGAGAATTTAACTAGGTAAAAATTGAGCGAATTGAGTTATGACTTGATCTTTAGCTTATTTCAATCTAAATAAATTTTAAGTCAATCAAATTCATTCTGTCCATTTTAACACACTCAAATTCAATCCTACCTCCTAGAGTAGACCTAGAGACATGCCCATTATTAACTAATCGAAAAAATGCTCAAAATAGTTCTTCAAATTTGGGATACAAATTATGATAATTCTTACAAACCAACTAGAGTACTTCTTTTTCTAATCAACTAATATGCAATGACGTAATAATTCATATTATGAGGTCATATTTATTTGTCATAGTAGTAAAATCTACTTAATTGGATCTAATATATGGATAGATAATTAATTTTGAAATAAAGTTTGAAAATAAGTATATTCAAAACAAATGAGTCAATTGCATTTTACACCCTAACATCTCTTTTTTTCTAGTAATTTATATTTAATCCTAAGATTTTATAATTTGCAATCTAACCTCTTTATTTTCTTACATATTATTTTCTTTTTAAAAAAAAATCCGCAGGGGCAAAATTGGAATACAATTAATAAAACTCCGCAAGGGGAAAATTAAAAAGCCTCCCATTGTTGGCTTTTTAGTTGACTGATTTTTCCTCAGACTTCTAATAAAGAGCTTTCCAATTTGATTTTTATTTTTTTGTAAGTTATTTTCC